ATAATTTAATTATTATTAGACACTCAGCCGGCTACAGGTCCTCACAATAATTTAATTATTATTAGACACTCAGCCGGCTACTGGTCCTCACAATAATTTAATTATTATTAGACACTCAGCCGGCTACAGGTCCTCACAATAATTTAAATATTATTAGACACTCAGCCGGCTACAGGTCCTTACAATAAATAATTTAATATAAGACACTCAGCCGGCTACAGGTCCTTACAATAATTTAATAATTAATTTGTCATAAGACAGTCAACCGGCTCCAGGTCCCGACAACAACTTCAGAGATTACAATAAAACAATTAAATAATTTGCGGCTATTGATATATTTTTGTTGATACATATTTTCCCCAGTAATATGAATATCTCAGTTAGAGGAGGAATGCACGTCCTAGACAGACATTTTATGCCTCAAGAAACTATTTCTTTAACTCCGCCATCAAGTAAATAATTATTGCCGTTTAGATTATTATAGAAGAAATTTCTGATAAAAATTGTCTCCATTTAAATATCTTCTTCAAAAGGATGTAGCCATTGACAATATATTATCCATTATATTCGTATTAATCTAAATTTGATCATTGACGTTTTAATTGATAAAGAATATATGGGAGGGTACAATATTTTACAAACAGCAGTCGTTATAAATTCCAAGAAGCATAATCAGCATTATTTGAATGACTGAGTTTATATAAAAAAATGAATAAAAATCCACATTCATCAACTGATATGTTCACCATTCCGATGCTTAGATCGTCGGAATGATGCACAATGAATTACAAAACCTCATCCATGTGGCTGGTCATTTCGATATAGGGCAATGCTAATTAAGTCATTAAAAAAGACGACTATTTCATTATAATATTGAATGCAATTATAATAAACATATCGATGCCAATAGTAATTAAAAGTATTTATTTATTTGTTTTAAATTCGCAGGTACAACAACACGAACAGAACGTCCTCTACCAGGTCTCCAACCTGCCGCCTCCCCATCCTCTCTACAACATCAGAAACCAAGTCATGCCTGGCAACGCCTTATAGAGGAGCCAAGTCATGCCTGGCAACGCCTTATAGAGGAGCCAAGTCATGCCTGGCAACGCCTTATAGAGGAGCCAAGTCATGCCTGGCAACGCCTTATAGAGGAGCCAAGTCATGCCTGGCAACGCCTTATAGACGGACTTAAAGTCATGCCAAGGCACTAAGAATGTCTCTTGACAAAAATATATTCGTTTGGCCCGAGTCTTAGTCCCGGTTTTATAGATTCATGCAGCCAGCATTGCATTATATGATACAAGAGTCGTGTTGGGTAATGGCCTGCGGTCTGTCACCCACATTTTATGAGCTGTATAAAGTGCATAATAGTCATTTTTATGATAAGCATATGTTTGTTCTGTTTTATTAACGATATGTCTCAATGAATATGCATTAAAACAGAATTTCATTAACAATTTCTTCTTGTGTTAACCGCTGAAAATTTATGTAAGCTCTGATTGTTATATTTTTTTCGCTTGTTATCATGGAAAATTCCAGGGGTAATTTAGCTTTCCGAGCAATATTCTGCCTTAATTGTTCTTCATGTTTACTTTTTAACAAACAAGTTGTGCTTTTTGTCAACCGGCCGGTTATAAAAAAGTATTAAAAAGCTGGCTCTCTTGAAATTGCATTCGATTGTTGATTCATTTACTGTAAAAATCGTGAAAATATCGTTTCGATAATGAGTTAATTTATAGACGTTTCCCAATTAAATTTTACCTCACTATAGAAAATAGTTTTTGCCCATAATATTATTTTACATAACTCTCTTTTTTGGACTATTATTTGCAATTAATTTTGGTTCGATTTGATTAGCGTAAATCGAGTTGTTATAACGTTTAAGCTGACGTAAACCCTTATAAGGCAGAACCTGTGATACTTCTAGCAATTTTTTTCCTAATTAAAAGTTTACTCAATTTAAAAACTTCGATGTCTGTTTTCTAGTTTTGAGATACTCGCTTGTAGCCTCATTCTCGTGGACAAATGATTAACCTACTTGCCTTTGAGCTTTCAGCAACGGTGATGGTTACTTTTCATTTAAACGCGGCTCACTTCTAGCAGATTTTTGTATGGTGAAAAAATTTGCCGAGGCGTGAGTAGATCAAAGAGTTCCTGATTGAAAAGGCTAATGTGCTCTAGGCAATTTCCTACACGAGTATTTCCTATGAGTAAGTACTAGGAAAATTGAGTGGAAAATTATGAGTATTTCCGTTTTCCAATATGAGTATTTTAATTTCAGCTAACTGTCTTCAATGCCATTATCGTGCTCTTAAAATTTATTGTACTGGAATGCATTTTTGTAAACTTTCTAAGAACCGTAAAGTCTAGATCTTATACATCTACGCTGGTGAAAACATTATTTTGTTAAATTTGGTATTGCTGTGACGATTTGTTATGGTAAATACAAGTAAGTTACACGGAGTTTCTGCTCACAGTACATTTAGGTCAATATGGTACATTTCAGTTAATTTATTACTTGTGCTGAATTTAGAATTACCATCGCGTATTATAGCAGCTGAAATAAGTTGAAATTAATTGCAAGAAATTCCTGTTAAAAGCTGCGAATATTTTCACTACTCTTGGTGTTTTTGCGACGAACTTTACTCAGGTTCTGCATTGCTTCCTGCCTGCTCCTCTCGCCCCCAACCGGCTCCAGGTCCTGACGATAATTTAATTATTATTAATATTAATGTAAGACACTCAACCAGCTCCAGGTCCTTAAAATAATTTATTTATTATTAATTTGACAACTGACACACAACCGGCTCCAGGTCCTGACGATAATTTAATTATTATTAATTTGACAACTGACACACAACCGGTTTCAGGTCCTTACAATTATTTAATCATTATTATTAATTTATTATAAGACGCTCAGCCTGGTACAGGTCCTTACTATGATTTAATTATTATTATTGATTTTACAACCGACACTCAACCGGCTCCAGGTCCTTACAATAATTTATTTAATTATTATTAATTTAATATAAGACACTCAACCGGCTCCAGGTCCCGACAATAACTTCACTAAAATGATTATTAATTTTGCATCCGAAACTCATTCCACTCCAAGTCCCGACAACAAATTCAGAGATTACAATAATGCAATTAAATAATTTGCGGCTATTGATAGATTTTAGTTGATACATATTTTCCCCAGTAATATGAATATCTCAG